GGAGGAGGAGGAGGAGGAGGAGGAGGAGGAGGAGTGGGGAGGGGGAGGAGGAGGAGGATATGTGTATGTGGAAACAAAGTTCACCAAAAGGAAACTCAACGATGTCCGCATCCATCCACATGATGTAATCAAACTGGAACAAGACAAGGAGGCATCGTCACTTGAGTTCCAACATCGCTCAGCGTCACTCACGTCCCGGAGGTCGATGGAGGACAGCATGCCTGCGGTCAGCTCAGACGCGCCGTCGCACAATCAGACGCTGACTCACGATTCCTCAGCCTTGCGGTCTTTGAGAGAGGACGAGACTCATCTGCTCGGCCCTTTCAGTCCCCCTCTCCCTCCTCCTCCTCCTCCTCCTCCTCTCCCTCCTCCACTCGTCTCTCCCGTCGACCTGGCAGGTTCTGCAGAGGCCCAGCATCGATAAAGATTCGCACGTACAGCTTCGGGTTCGCGCGCCTGCCGGCATGTCACTCCTGCTGGCGTCTGCAGCTGCCGAGCGCACGGGACACGTCGGAGATTCTCCATGATCCTTCTCTTGAGCTCGGGATGCATCCATGGGCTGGAAGGGACCAAGATCTGCGGGCAAGTCAGGCTGCGGCGCCATGCTCGTCCTCCTGCTCCTACCGCCACTCTGTACAACTTGTTCTCCTGCCGTCCACATCAGCACGCGAGGAGGCATGCGAGAGGAGAGGTCACCTTGGAAGCATCTATGGAGCTTGCTGTCACTTCCGTTGGGAGGCAGGGGAGCGAGAGGAGGATGAAGGGGAGGATAAGCAGCTGCGAGGTGCGCATAGCTCTGCTCTCACAGGTTGCAGCTCCAGCTTCACCGTCCCATCACTGACAAGGCTCGTCATAATCTGACAGCATGCAAGGATAGCACTAGAATGTGAAAGAAATAACATGCAGCCCAACATGTTCCTTCCCTCAAACACACATACCACACTCTTCCTCCCTTTTCCTCCTTCCTCAACTCAGTTTGGTCTTCCCCGTCCACTGGCCTCTCCTCCCTCGCTCCCTTCCCTCCCTTCCCTCCCTTCCCTCCCTTCCCTCCCTTCCCTCCCTTCACTCCCTTCCCTCCCTTCCCTCCCTTCCCTCCCTTCCCTCCCTCCCTCCCTCCCTCCCTCCCTCGCCGCTTCGTTCCCTCCCCCCCTCCCTCCCAATGGGTCCCCCCGTCCCCCCAGCTGGGGGGAATGAAAAATGGAAAGCTGAATGGAAAGCAGCAGCTCGAAGCGGCGAGGGAGGGAGGGAGGGAGCGAGGGAGAAGAGAGAGGGGTACAACGGGTGCTGGATGTAGCTGGTGGAAGACAAGCTCGGCGTCACTCTGAAGTATCAATGTCGAGGATAGAACCTCCAAGTTGAGGAGAAGATACTTGCAGATGCTTCGAGGGGGAGGCAGCAAACGTCAGTTTCTTCAATCATCAAGACAAGTCTTTGCAAACTACACCTAGACCTGTGCTCGAGTCTACAACACTTCTTCTTACACACAAAGAACACTCCTCGTCCCCTCCTTCACATCAGCACGCAAGATGCTGAGCACGAGGTCCTCGCTGTGCCGATGATGCGACCGGCCTGGCTCTGCCTTGGGCGAGCTGGGGAGCTCCTGGAAGCCTCGTGGAGTGCGGCGAGACCGTCGGGAGAGGAGAGGTGACACTTGGCGAAGACTCTGCGAGGACGAAGAGGAAGGGAAAGTAAGCACAACAGGAGGAGGACAGGGAGAAGGAAAGGGAGGAGGACGGAGAGGAGGGGGCAGAGGGAGGGGTACAAGCATCAACAAAGAAGGAGCTCAGAAAGGATTTGCACAGGCGAGGGTTGCAGGAGAACGAGAAACAATCAGGAGGTAGAAGGGACAGCAGAGGCAGGAGCAAGGCAGGAAGAGGAGAAGAAGGGGGAAGGGAGAGGGGAGGAGGCAGACGAGAACTAGGGAATCTTACAATCCAGGGTAATCGCTCTGTTCGCTCAGATGTTGCATGCAGACCTCTTCGATCCCTCGACCAGAAATCTGAGGCAAAAGTGAAAAAGCAGGAGCAGGAGCAGGAGCAGGAGCAGGAGCAGGAGCAGCGCTCCCAAGGAGAGCGGAGCAGGAGCAGGGGAAGGAGAAGGAGACGCAGGCACCAGGGCATCAAGAGGTCAAAGGAAGCGGGAGGGATGAGTAGCAGCAGGGGCTAGCAGCTCACGTTAGCAGTGCCATCGCTCCTGAAGCTGCAGTGGGTCACGCGGACGACGATTCCTCTGCAGGAGCAGGATTCAGCGTCGGCCCCATGGGCCAGCTGGCGATCGCGTTGAGATACCGCGATCCGCATCTCGGTTGCTCCGATGCGAAGATGAACATCCTGACAGGCAGGTGAGGCACCGGCAAAGTCGGGGGATAGAGACGTACTTGTTGGTGGACGACACGATGCGGGCAAGAGCGCGATACCTTGAAAGATGAAGTTGAGAACATCTCGGAGCGCAACGGAAGTCACTGACCGCCTTTCAAACATGTGAAGAGACACGGGCTGCCCCCGCCTACAGCTCCCTCCCTGCGACATTAAAAATCTTCATCGTGCTGCCATGGCGGCACCTCGACCTCCTCACCTGCATGTGGAACACTGGAAGCTCCACGGGCACCTCCATCTCCGCAGACTCTGGAGGTTCCGTCGGGTTGACAATCATGTCCCCAGAGCTCAACAGATTTTCAGACGATGTGAACTGAGTAGAACTGTTAAGGACATCGCATTGAAAACAGAACTGTGAACACAACACAAGCATTTCGTGTGATGTGACATTCGTACTTGAGAAGGCATCATCATCATCATCATCATCATCATCATCATCATCATCATCATCATCATCATCATCATCATCATCATCATCATCATCATCATCATCATCATCATCATCGTAACTATCAATACGCTTCACGCTATCCTCACCTTGCCATAGAACAATCCATATGCTGATTCATCAATCCAGACCTGTTCAAGCGTCAACTCTCAGAATACAACAGCAAACGGCTTTCCTGATCGATCTTGATCCTCTTGATCGCCATTCCGGTGACATGATAATTATCTCGCAAATCACAGGATGCAGATTGAAGCAGAACCTGCATCCAACCTCTAAGTTCTTTCGGGTCTGCAGAAACAAACACACCAGCGTCGCTAACTGCCCGGACGACGGCTGGTTTGCCATGAAGAGGAAGAAGTTGTCGGTCTGTGCGATCCTCTTGCACATCTCTCGATATCTTGATCGTCACAAGTCAGAGCCAACAGAAACCTCACAGGGCCTTCTTTTCACCTCCTCTCGAAGAGGTAGAGCTGGACTCGTTGCCCTGGGCGACACCCCGGATGCATGTAGAAGATTGGAAAGGCATGCACCATCATCTTCTGGAGCTCCTCTAGCTCTGCTTCAGCACTCCTCCTCCTCCCCTCCAGGCATGCAGCCGACAAGGACAGCTCGATCTTCTCCTGCAAGACCCCATCTCCCTTGCAGGTGAGAGGGTCGACGAGGATATCCTCTCGGCAGTTGGGACACTGCTGCCCGTTAGGGGACGAGTGCATTGACTTGATGACGCAGTTGCGGCAGAATGTGTGCTTGCAGGACGGGATGACGATCGGGTCCCACAACACTTCCAGACAGATGCTACAAGTCAGGTCAGACGAGTCTTCCTCCGGATGGGCGACGTCGCCGACCGCGCTCGGGTCGACATTTTCAGAGCCGCCACCAAATTCTTTGCCTCGAGGAGCATCCGCGTCGTGAGCAGTTGGGGTGTTTGATTGCTCTGACTGTCCTTTCTCTTCCACCTCTCTGGCCTGCTCCTGCATCTGAAAGACCTCTACCTCCTTGACCCCCGACGGTACCTCCATCCTCCCACTGGGTTGAAGGCAATCCCTGACTTATCGGAACGTGTCAGCAGCGTGCGAGCTTTCCAGCACGGAATGAACAATGTTCAGTCACAAGAGGCGGACAGGCGGGTGCTTGAAAGATGATCAAGAGCAGTTTGTCGAGCCAGGCACTCGCGCAAGGGGACGTAGTGGGGGAAGATATGGGGAAAGGTGAGGTAACCTAAGGTCTGGATAGGAAAGGTTTGGAAGCAATGATGGAGTGCTTGTGGAAGCACGGCCAAGGAGTGATATGCAACAGCTGTTGAAGGAGAGCCGAGGAGGGGAGGGGACGACGGGGGCAGGAGCAGAGCGGGAGGCAGGGGAACGCGAATGGAGTCGCTGTGTGGAAGTTGACTGAAATAAATTTACTTTTAAGAGTTTTTCAGATATGCTTGGCACAGAGTACTTATATTTCTGTACCAGAAGAACCTCGAGATCGTACCAGAACGTGAGGAGTCTCCTACAACGGGAATTTTTAATTGTACTGCTAAGGACTGCTAAAACTCTAAAACTGTGTGAGGAAGGCTTTGACTAAACCTTTAAAACATCGCCTTGTGAGTAAAGAAAATCCGGCGATGCCGGTTATTGCCCGGTCAAAATTAATTAACTTGGGACGTACGCGGGAATAGGAGGGGATGCGGGCAAGGATCCCGGCCTATTGCTCCTCCGGAGTTACACAAAGGTCTAAATGATTTTATGCTATAACTATTTTAAGTTGTACCATCGACTGATCCAGAAGAGCTCAATATATATATAAAGTCAGAATTCAAAAACATATGTTGTCATCATGGCACGGACTCCACACGGGCGGCCAGGGCCTTGGTCACAGGACCACGTAACTAAAACTATTTTGTAGACTTTCTTATCGGTCACGAGGGCTGCAATGGATATCAAGTGGGTGATGTAGGGGAAAGGGAGGGGTGGTCCCTACGGTCGTTGAGAACAGTTGTATGGAACAAACAGGCGAAGACGTCAAAACTGGGAGAGGGAGGGGTGGTCAAAACAAGTCAGTCACGAGTCCTGTGCCTCGTTCGAAGGGGTTGAGGTCCGAAACGATCAGATATCACAGCGTTTCGATGTGGATATGGAAATCTGAAACAATGTTGTGAGGACCCCTACCCTCTCTCCTTCTCCTGGACCCCAACATTTAAGTGTAAAACTACCCCTCATTCAGAATTTATTCACTACCCCACCCGTCCATCAAGGCGTCCAATCTCTCTCATATTTTCACCCCCTCTCCTCTGCTACTTCTTGATTGTTCCCTCCTCCTCAACCTCTGCGCGCTTCAACTTTCATCCTTCTTCTTAGAAGTTCCCACCCTCCTTGTCCTGCTCCCCCCCCCCCTCCCCGGCTCTCTTCATTCAAACAACCATGACTGCTCTTGAACCATCCTCCCTCCCGCTCCCAGATCAGGTTCCTGAGGAGGTCGATGCTTGGACGGCTTTCGGCGAGGTCGTGGCGGACCAAGTTTCTGCAGATTGCAACGCCTTCATCATCGTTGACAACTCAGAGGATGGCTTTCCCATTGTATTCGCCTCGCCCGCCATGTGCAAGCTGATGGGCACAAACAACCTCGTCGGTCGATCCCTCGACGTTTTCTGCGGGGAGCTGACGGACTGTGACGACCTGGCTCAGCTTAGAGGTGCTCTTTCGGGCCGGGACATGAAGTCTTGCTGCCTTGCTAGCTACAACATCGATGGCAAGATGTTTTGGAACCACGTCGTCATGCAACCTGGTCTTGCCTACGAGCTGCCCTTCTCCTACATCGCAAGCCATGACGTGTCGGACATCTTTGATAGCGTGGACGAGAACAGCAGTGTGAGCCAGCACCCCGAAGCCGACAGGATCCACTCCGCGCAGGTCCAGAACGGCCATGTGGCTATGAGCATGGTGCGGATGATGGTGTATGGCGAGGATGAGCAGGGGCAGCCCGAGCAGGAGGAAGTGGCCACTGCTGTGGAGCAGCGCGGCTCGTCCCCTCTCGTGCAGATGGACTTCGACGAGCTTTCAGCTGACCTGCTGGTGACTGAGGCTCCGGTGGAGGAGCTGCTGCCAGTGCAGGAGCCTGTCCTGTCCACTTCTCCGCGCGAGAAGGTCGATGAAGTGTCCAGCGCAAGCAGCGCCAGTGTGGAGGCTTCAGTGTAGAAGTTGCTTGCACGTGGACATTGTTCTTGGTCTCGAACAAGCTTCTTGGAGCAACTTGTGATACTATGAAGACACTGGAGTCCCTTCCTCGTGTTGGATATGTCTTCTCCCCCCTTATCCAGCCATCTTTGATGGAATAAATCTTTTTTTTCAAGCGCAAGGCTGAAATTTTCAAGCGCAAGGCTGAAACATGTGATTTAGTGCCATCGTCGCTCCTCTAGCTCTACTTCCCTCTTGTCTCCATGTAGAGTTCAACGTCCGTAATTGCGTCATTGAGCTTCTTGGAGTGTGGTGCCTTCTTGTACTACAAGACAACACTCTACGTATCCTCTACGAGGGATGCTGAGGAGCAAGACTATTTACATCTGCTGGCCCGCCGTTGGGGTGAGGCATCGCATGGACTGTCGGCGGCATGAAGGGATGTGGGAGGTTGACGCCAGGTGCCATGGCAGGAGCAACCCCGTGCGGCATACCCACGATGAACCCAGGAGGAGCGAAGTGACCACCGTGCATGACGGCCTCCACAGGGAACGCGGCGAAGTTGGCAGGAGGGAAGACCTGCTGAGGAGCTCCGCCCTGAACTGGCGTCGGCTCAGAGAAAGAGGGGACGAACTCCGTCACGTTGGCGTTGAGTGTGGTCTGCGGCTTCAGCTTCCCTCCCAGGATGGGGTATCCCTCGTGCGGCCTTCTTGTCATGGGCGCTGCAGGAGGACATGTCAAGGGCTAGTGCCGATATCGTCTCGTGCTCACCTGAGAAGCCCTTCCCATCCTCGGGACCTGCTGCCATCCTGGCAACGACACGAGCTACGTCCTGCTGCCGCTTCATCCTGCGGGTTGTTTGCTCGTGAGCGACAAGAGGTCACGTGGAGGAGCTCAACCTCTCCGGCATGCGCTCCGGTTCCTTCTGACGGTAGTAGCGCTTAAGACGGACCTGAAGGAGGCGTAAGGGGGAGGAGAGGGAGAGAGCCAACACTGACCGCAACGATGTCTTTGAAGGTCTTCGGATTGAGGGTGTAGAAGAATTGGACGTCGCTGCCTATGTCAAGCTTGCCCGCATCGCCTTTCTCCACCTGCAAGACTAGCTCAATGCATCGGATTATCCTGATCTCTCTCTATCATTTTTGATCACCATCACCATCACCATCACCATCACCATCACCATCACCATCACCATCACCATCATCACCACCGGATTTCACCTCTGTGCTCTCGAACGCGATCAGACGATCCAGTTCAGGGGGAGACGACAGAGCCTTGACAAGGCCCCAGTTCTTCTCCAGTCCTTGAATCGTGCCCTGCGCAACATCGTCAGACGAGATCAGGTAAGGCCAGGGGAAGTAGGAGGAGAGGAGGGGACAGGCGCGGAGCAAACAGGGGAAAGAAAGGAGACGAGAGGATTAGTGCGCAGAGCAAGGTTCAGTGAAAAAAAACAACAACAACGACTGATGAACATGGAGGAGGAAAAGGGGTGTCGGGAGGGTGAGGTTGTACTGACCTCGGTGGGTAGAGCGACGACATGTCTTGCCCTCTTCGCACCGCTCGAGTCAACGGCCACACTGCCCCAACGTCATGTCAGCAGAGGAAGGAATACCGAGGAAGAGGCGAAAGATAAAATCGCAGATGAACGAGGAGAAGAACGGAAGCTCATGTACTGGGAGCCATTCCCAATACAGGCATGCTAGCAGGTAGAGCAAGAAGCATACCTGTACTCCACGTGCTGCCCATCCAAGATGAGATGGCGAGGTTCATCGACATCGACGTTGCTGAACTTCAGTTGCTCGACCTGAAGCGTCACTATCAGTCGCGGAGGCTCAAAGTGCAAGGAGGAGAGTCGGGTCGAGCATGATACAGGAAAATCCAAGGCGCTTCCCACCTTGTCGCCCTCAACATGCTTGATGGTTCCTCCTGTGGCTGCATGCAAAGTCTCCATGCTTCCTCCAGCCTGCCAGTTGTCAACGTGTCAGCAACACAACGAGCAGATCTCGAAAGCTTCTTACACGCCCGGACACGACTCCTTTGAACCTCGTGGGCATGAAAGTTTCTACTTCGACCGATCCCTTCGGCAGAATCTGAAGACAATCGTCAGGCTGAGCTCGTCTCCTCCTCACATCAGCTCTACCTTGATGTCCTCAGCCTTGAGAACGCGAGTGGAGGGTTCAGAGACCAGGTAGAAGGAGACTTCGTCATTCGCTTTCGGTTTGCGGAGCTTCGCGTGCCCGTCGGGCGCAGCTCCTGCCTCCTCCTTGTCGTGCTCCTGGTGCTCGTCATGCTCTGCATTCTCGTCCTCTTGTTGCTCGTGCACATCGCCCGGTGAATTCTAAGGGGAGACATCAGCCCGACGGCGTCAAGGCCTCTGGGACGGACCTTGTGCTCCACCTCGTTCGGCTCGACGTTGGCCAAAGTGGAATGGTCAACATCTGTGAAAGAGAAGTAGACGAAGTTCTCGAGCTGGTTGCACTTGATCCATCCGTGCGAGTGCTTCACAGCTTCGGCAACGCGTAAGGAGCTAGGAAGCAGCGGACAGCGGATCTATACCTGCGATGAGTCCAAGGAGGGGCCCCTTCTTCTCAGAAGCCTCTTGCTCTCCCTCCCCTAGTTTCGCTTCTGCGCCAGCGCAACATGTCAGCTCACTGGTGGACAGAGGTACGGAGCACCTGCTAGAGTGATGCTTGCAGCTCTCAATCGTTTGTACTGCTTGTCCAAAATGATGGTGAAGTTCACTTTGTCCCCTGACAGACGAACTATCAAGAACCTGGAGCACTCTCGACGAGCTCACCATGGTGAAGAAAGACTGAAGGATTGGCGAGATCGTTAGCCGTCCAAGTCAGGAATTCACATTCTTGCTCCTTAGACTTGGACTTAGCCGAGCTCTGAAAGGTGCGTGTCAAAGGAGTCTGAGAAACTGAGGAGAACGAACCTTCTTCTTCTCCTTCACCGGCTTCTCCTCATTTTCATTTTCAGGGGCCTGCACTAGCGTCACGCACAAAGCCCGTGATAACAACTCCCTACCTTTGGTTCCTCCTCTCCAGTCTCGCCAATCACAATCGGCTCTAGCGGCCGCAACAGCCCCTGCTCAGTCACCATGAGACAAGAAGACATACGGCATGCTCATACACCTTGAATGCAATGTCTTTGTCTTTGAGTTTCTTGCTCATTCCCGAGGGGATGCCTCGGTTCTCTGGTAGCGGCCGTTCAACTATCCCCTCGAACTTGCCGGGGAGAGTCTCTTCGAAGCTGACTGAGCCTGGCGGAAGCTACATGACAGTGAGACGACTACGTGAGGCAGGGAGCCGTTACACCTTCGTGACCCTGACAGCCATCAGACGCCCGTCGGCTTTGCTCTCGGAGACGTTGAACTCCACTTCATCTCCGTTGTTGATCTTCCCCGTCCTCGCGGCATTCTTATCAGGAGATTTCACTCCTTCGGATGCCCTTCATGACGAATTAAAGACGATACCGCAGGCGAACACAACATTTACCCGACGTCATTCCCATCGTTCTCTGGTGAAGAATCGTGAGATTTTTCATCATCGATGGGTACTGGAGTTGAGTCCGGTCCGACGAATTCGCTCAGGTGCATAAACAATGGGTCTTCTCGGTTGCAGCACTTGATGAAACAGTAGTTCAAGCCTTCTTTGCATCTCATGATGATCCCCCGCTCCCTCTCCTGAGCGCCGAAAGAGATGATTTTCACCTGGATGGAATCATCAGACAATTTGAAAGTTCTGACAAAGGAGTACTCACATCAACTGCTCTCAACTTCTTTGTTGGTTTATCCATGCAAATTTGAAAATCCACTTCATCGCCGATGAATGGAAAGTGTCCACGATAATCGTTCAAATCCGAGCCATCGAACTGTATCTTGGCTTGCTTGCCTTCGGAATCTACATACTTGATCGTGCCGCCAAAAGCCTCACTGTTCCCTCGGCCCGAATTCGAGAATCCAGATTTCTTCGAAGAAGGAATCTTGAGAGGGCGTTCTACAGTGCCCTTTAACCTGAAGAAAACAAACAAGGTCATAATGGATATAAAGCCCCAGGCGACTGGAAGGTCACCTTCCGTCAAGAATTTTTGTATAAACAACGGTGCCTTTAGGAAGGGGAGTGATCTGTACTGCAACATTCCTTCCTTCACGATCTGCTTGCACTGTGAATTCGATTTCATCCCCAACCCTGGCAGCGCATCATCAGTTTGCCAAAGGGACTTGACAACTTCAATACCTTGGGATAAGGTCTCTCTGGTTAACCTCACTGAAATGAAAGAAAAGCCTCTCATCTCGATCGCAGCATTTGATAAAGCCGTAACTGTCCTTGACCATGGTCACAGTCCCCATTTCCCTTACGGCGCCCTTTTGTGCAGTACTAGAAACAAACAATATATTGGTGGCCTTCTCTGATTTCGAGGATCGGGAATATACAACGTCGAAACGAACCATGTCGCCCTCTGCAGGCATGTATCGTCCACCATCAGGCTTCGGCAAGACATCATCCCCTCCAAAGATCCAGTCCTGCGATCCTTTCCCTGCCTTCACCCCCTTGCCTCCTCCAGTGCGTGAGGAAGCAGCATCACTAGATCCAGCTTCCCCCTCGGGGCCTTCATCGGCCGCAGGAAGCAACACTCTACCACCATACAGTTCTCGTTTCTGGCTCCTGTCATACGATCGACTTTCCCGCAGCTCCCGAATGATCACACCTTCCAAACCCGACCGCACTGTTTCCTCCATCTTGATAGTGCCCTTAGGCAATAGCACAACACGCACGGCCATGGTCTTTTCGCCAGGCCTGCTCTGATGCAACCCAAATTCTACTTCTGATCCCCTCGTCAACTCACTTGGATCGGCATCTCGTAGCTCGGAGAAGTGGAAGAAATACTGGCCCTCAGTGTCAGCATGTCTGACGAAGCCATAATTCTCCTTCAAGCTCCAAACAAACCCAACCTCCCTAGGCGCACTGTCTTTCTCCTTCTCTTCATTCGAAGAGAACTTAGAACCTCCAGATGCCCGCGGTTTTCCCCCCGAACGCATCAAGTTCTCCGTCGAAACATACTTGATACCCTTCCCCTCCACGGAGTTAACATTCTTGTTCACGATGATATGACGAGCATCTCCTTCACCAGAAGACTCGTGGACGAGTTCCATCATCTGTTATCCATGACAGTCAGTACTCCTGCTGCTTTTGAAGAGCACGAAGGACCTCGCAAAATTCGTGCACAACTTTTCTTTCACGGGCCGTGAGTTGAGGTGGAAACGAGAGGATGACTTCGTCCCCCTTGAGGAAGTCATCCATAATCTTTTTCACACACATTCGAAACTCATCGTCGTCATTGTTTCTTTGTCTGCATACCACACATCAGTAAGAAAGCTGCCCTTGTTGCACGGGCGTTGCAGTACTGACCTGCCTTGTCTATCGGAATTGCGTTCGGTCCTGTCGTCATGCTGCATGAAATTTCTCCCTCCTTGTCTTCGGCGCCCTGAATCCTCTGCAGAATCACGGTACCCATCATTGTATCGCCCAGCTTGATCACGATGTTTCATGGTGGAATGAACTCGACGCTCCAGTCAATGCCTGCGCTGCGAACCTGTCCCTCAGGTCTGGATCCGATCTTCAACAATGGTCTCTCAGATTAGCAGCGCGGCATGCCGTGTCGAGCGGCATTCGACCCTCGCACCATCATGCTCCAACTTCCTCGAGGCTGCAGAGGAACGACTTGTCAGCATCGGGCAGACGGAATTCGAGACTAGTCCTGGGGGGCAACACAAGGGATTCATATCATCAGTGAAGTTCGACTTCAACATAGCAATCCATGGGGGAACATGAGGTTATCAAATCTCGTGAGTCAACTACAAGTAGGAATAAAGGCAAACTGCTTGAGGACAAAGGACTCGCTCTACAGCTCTCGCCCGCTGTCAGCTGCAACCAGTGACAGCAGAGGCCTTCGACAAGGAGGGCGGGCACAAAGAGAAGTTTGGGCGAGCTTCACAGATGCACCATGGTCGCTAGCAAGAGAGGGGCTGTGTCTCCTACTCACCTCTTCCTCCTCCTCCTTTCCCCGACCCCCTGCATCTTTCCAGCCATGGCGGCTCGCACGCGGCTCGAGCAAACTTGACTAAAGTTGAGTCGTACAACAAATGACCCCTACCCCTACATCAAATCAACCCCACCAGAGTGCTCCGTATCTTCGAGTAATACCACCCCTTCTTATACCTTAAAGTACCCCTCTTTCCCTCTTACCAAAGAGCCTTATCAGCACCCACCCCGTCAGTGGACTCCCTCACCATCCATTGAAATCCACCCCACCTCTCCAAATTCGCTGTAGATGGATCGGGGCGGAGGTGGGTGGGGTGGGGTACAAGACAAGGGAGGCCTGCCTCAGCAGTGACTGAGTTGAAGAAAGGTTCGGGAGTCACGGTCGGCGACACTCGAACGGGCCCGGCTGGCTCGGCCCCGCGGGGGCAACAAGCAGTGTCACGGCGAGTGACCGTCGGACCACGGCCGCGCCTCCAAGCGGCGGTCCGGGCGGGGCGGCGCTGCGCCGGGCACAGCGGCTGTGCGCACTGGCCAACTGCAACAACGGTACGGTTCAAGGTTCCCGACCATGGGACTCTCCGAGTTTAAAGAAGTTACAAGTGAAACAAGTTGGCGAAGGTATTGGTGATGGCACTCCATCCAAGGCCCCACACGCTGGCCTGAGGAGGGAGGAAGAGGAAACTCGTCAGGCGAGGAGAAGGAGACTCGGAAATAAGGAATACCTGTGTGACTGGCTTCACCGGGGAAACACTCCTGGTCGCCACCTGGAAGCCGAATAGTGAGGGGTTGAAGAACCAAACACCTCGTGTAGTGACGCCCACCTGAGGTAACACCTGCTGAGGACGAGAAACCTTGGGCTCTGCGGGTTTAGCTTCAACGGCCTTGACCTTGTGGGTAGCGGCCGGGTGAGGAGCAGAAGACATGATTCTACACCCAGAGAGACAGTCTGGGCCAGTCACACAAGCCTCGCAATAACTTTCCTCCAGGGATTTCTGCCTGCGAAGCTGCAAGGAGGGATCAGTCACCTAGAAGACCAAAGTAGCGCAAAGAAAGACCGACCGGATGCATTTCGAACGACGAGCGAGCGAAAGCGATACGCTGGCATGCTTTCAGATGGGCATCCATTTATCAAACATGGAGTGTTACCTTCTCGTATTCCGGACTCAAGTAAGTAGATGCCAGATCAATTGCCTTGTTCTCGTGCTTGTTCTGCTTCACTGGATGAGGCGTGACCGCCGCTCTCTCTTCCTGCTCTTCTTGTTGCTGCTTTCTCAGAAGGAAGCTCCTCGTGCGATCGTTCTATCCACGCAGAACAGAGATCAACAGGTTGAAATTCCAAGTCAGAGCTTCACCTTCTCGTATTCCGGACTCAAGTAAGTAGATGCCAGATCAATTGCCTTGTTCTCGTGCTTGTTCTGCTTCACTGGATGAGGCGTAACCGCCGCGCTCTCTTCCTGCTCTTCTTGTTGCTGTTTTCTCAGAAGGAAGCTCCTCGTGCGATCATCCTTTCGAATACCAACAAGAATCATGAACAAGGCATGCACAATCTGCAGCTACCTTCTCGTACTCAGGACTCAAGTACGTGGTCGCGAGATTTACAGCTCTGCTCTCCGAATCATTTGGCAGCGTGCGCAACTGCTCCTGGACAGGGGCAAGACATTTCAGTTGCGTTTTGTCACGAAGAGGAGACAAACCTTGACATCTTTATGAGCTGCAGCAACATTGGTGATTGAATTCTCCTTGGCGTCAGTGTGCCGAATCTGGTTGCGGAGAGACTAAAACCAAGATTAGCCATCGAATCAAGGTCATTTCACCACGGCAACCTTGTTGTCGTCCTCGACATGCCTTAGCTTGCTTTTCAGATCTGCGATGTTCATTTCTTCTGTCTTCTTCATCGATGAGATCTCGTCGTCCAACTTGTCTATTCTGGTTTGGCTCTTGTCCCTTGCACGCAACGATTTCTCAATCAACGAAGAAAGGTGCGAGTTCCTGGCCTGAAGCTTGTTGTTCTCACTCGAGACTACGGACAGCTCCTTCTTCAGATTTGACTCTCGTCGCTTCTCGCGTGCGAGCTGTCTCTGAAACTTGCGGGTAAGGTCTTCCTGCTTCGTTTTCGCAGCGTAGAGAAGTCCTGCCTCCCTCGCGTTCATCTGCTCGATCTTGGACTCCTGCGATTTCTCCAGGTTTTTCTCAACAGCGTCGATCGCTTCTTGAGCGTTCTTGGTCGTGAATGAGCGGGGGGACGAGCGCGAAGATTCCACTCGCAATGGTTCACTGCCAAGGTGGGTCATGAAATGTAGCGTCAACTCTATTGCTCACAAGTGTCTCAGAGCAGGTTTGTGCTTGGGAGGAAGCAGCTTCTCGAGCGCCATGTCCCCGTACTTGTGAAAGACGTGGATTGCTCTGCTCGGGACGGTAAACTTCCTTGAAAGACTAGCACATCGAGCCAGACTACCTCTGCATCTGCTTCTCTTTCATGCTCCACTCAGCATGCGAGTTTTCCTGCAACGGGATGAGGAAAAAAACTCCCCTCCTCACAAGTGGCATCACCGGAACAGAGTGCGAAGTCTTGGCAGAGAACTTCATAGGGTAAACACTCTTCCACTTGGCATGCTCGACGGAAAGCGCCTCCTTGATGATACTTCAGTTCCTCACCACGTACCCCGTCCACTCTTACGGCATTCCCATCAGCTTCCGATGGGGAGACCACGGGGAAGTTTGGATCGCGTGAGTGGAGTGCATGTACCGCCTCCATGTCCACTTTCACCGCACCCTTGCTGGCAAGACTAGAGGCCTCGCTGTGGCCTGCAGCCTGTGATTGAAGCTGTATGATCCGCAAGGTGAGACACGGCAGGAATCAAGGGCTACGGGACCTTCAACGCCACAAGAGCGCATGCTACGACTGCCATCGAGGCGGCAGCCATCAGCCTCCTGCTCGACATCCTCCTGGTTCGTCCTGTGCGATCAAACAGCAGACCAAGAAGACCTGCAGCAGCTCTCATTCTCTGCCCTCCACATCTCCTACCCACCTCTTGCAGAGCATGCGGCGAAGAGCCAAGTGTTTCAGGTGCTACTGAGCCTGTGCCTCCGGCTGGCCGAGTGCCCGGCCGGGCCCCCGGGCTCGGGCCCGCTGCTAGCCTGAGCGGCTCAGCCGCCGCGGGGCCGGGCGCGGTCTCGGCCCTGATGGTCTCGGACGCCGGGGCCGCCTTGATGAACCCCGGGTAGGCCTGGAACTTACTGAGTTCCCTGTCTTAAATTACCAGCACATTTCGGGGGCCAGCACCGTGACATTTCCAGGGCGGCCCAGCAGGGGCCCCGCAGGGGCCCCGGTTTTTCTGTGCTGTATGAGGGCTGCAGGCTGTATGAGGGGCATGAATTCAAGGTCGAGTAGAAAGGAACTTGGCGGCCGCGGGATCGTATGGCGGAAGGATCAGGGACCATCGCACTCTAGAGGAGAAGGAGAGAGGAGAGGGTAGGAGGAGGAAGAGAGGGAGAGGAAGAGGGTAAGACGAGGCGAGGAGGAGGAGAGAGGAGGAGAGGAAGAGGAAGAGGAAGAGGAAGAGGAGAGGAAGAGAAAGAGGAGAAAGAGAAGAAAGAGGAAGAGGTGAAGGAAGGGGATTAGAGAGTAGAGGAGTATTTGAGGCGGCGTCTTCTCAAACAAGAGGAGGAGGAAGTGGTTGTGGTTGTGGTGGTGGTGAATTCAGTCTTGTTGGACCGGACGTTTGCAAGGAAGCGAAACTGCTGGGACCATGCATTCAATCATCAGCTCTGTTCTCCCGTGCTTGCTCGTCCTGTCCTGCCTTGAAGGATCTGCATTTGCTCTTACAGAGGGTAAAGATTTTTCAGCTGCTGGAAGAGAGGGATCTCATGGTGCAGCTCTGACCTTACGGGGAGGAGGGAATGCGATGTATACACCATCCTCCTTGACCCTTCCCATGAAGGAGATCGACCGGCTTCTTGCAGCGTTGCGATCCAACGAAGAGGAAAGCATCAAGAAGATCTTCAAGATCTACCCTGACGTTCTCAAGGCTGAAGACACTTGGAAACAGACTGTCTTGCACCTTGCAGCCAAGGAGGGAAATGTGAGCGAACAGGTCTTGATGGTAGAGGACACGGTGACGGTTTTCCATGACAGGTCGACATTGTTGAGAAGCTTGTGAAGCTCGGGAGCGACTTGGAGCATAGGAACTTCGTCGGCAGGACTCCTCTCCTCCTAGCTACGATATCCGGGCACGTTGGAGTGGTTGAGATTCTTGCGAAGCTAGGGGCTGATGTGAACACGACGGATGCGAGCATATGGTACAAGAACTCGCGGAGGAGCCCGCTGCACTGGGCATGCCATAGAGGATTGCAGGAGATTGCAGCCAAGCTCTGTGACCTAGGAGCCAACATCGAAGCCAAGGACGGGTTGGGGAGGACACCCATCTTCTGGGCTGTGAGGAAGGGAAACCTCGAATGTCTTCAGGTCAGGAGGAAGGCGATTGTGAGGAGGAGGAGGATCATGAGGCGGGGGATAGGGAGAAGGGAGGAAGCGGGCGAGAAGGTGGAGGGGCACGTGATGAGGTGTTCCTGCAGGTGCTGTTGAGCAGAGGAGCAGACTTCACCAAGGTGGACGACAAGGGGATGGGGTTGAGAGATTTAGCAGGTGCGAGGAGAGCTGATTCATATTGCGCACGGGACTGATCAGACTGGCAGAGCGACTGCCTTCCTGCCCCAGGACTGACATGATCCGAAAGACACTGCAGCTGGTCATAGACGGACTGGACCCCCGAGACATCCGAGGTGGAAGGAGGAGGAGGGAAGTAGGATGGGCACGGGAACGGGAAGGAAAATGCTGTCATGTGAAAAGTCTGGAGGTGGAGGAGAACAGGAGAGGGAGGTTGGTGCATGAGAAGTTGCAGGAGTGAAAGAGAAGTTGAAGGCAGCATGCTCTTACCTGCTTGCTTTCATCAGTCCATCCTCCCCAGCGTGAGGGAGTGGAGAAGGAGCAGAAGGACAGAGTCCTCACAGACTCGAAAGTCCTCAACACCATGATACTAGCAGGGGAGGTGTTGATGGCTGCAGAGAGAGGAGAAGAAAGCTGATTCTGTGAACAGAAACTTGGAGCTTTTCTGCAGCAACAGCTGGCAGCCGAGAACAGGTGGTGGTGGTGGTGGTGGAGGAGGAGGAGGAGGAGGAGGAGGTAGGGGGTTTGGGGGGGGGGGGGAGAGGGTGGAGG